AAATTAAATATTAATATTATCAATATAACTACTACTTTAAAAAAAGTTCACCCTTAAGTTTCACAGTATTTTTCTGTTTCTGCATTATAGTACTAATTTAATCAAAGAGCATCACAAAGACCCCCCCAACTAGCACGGTCTTCTGTCTTCTTCCTGGTATATTACTGCATTAACGACTTTCAGGACATAAAGACTGTCCTTGCTTGCATTATCTAATTCAGGATTTGTTGAGATGAATTTTATTTAATTGAGCAAACTTTAGACAAGAGTAGTTCAGGGGTCAATAGCCATCCTTTGAGTATTTCAAATTGGGGTCAATTGAATGTTGCACTGTTGACAAGTCAAAGTCATACATTTCGTGGTAGATAATATAACCTATTGTACTGAAAGGTTGTAAATTTGACATATGTGCATTTACCATGTACTGTTCTTTGACCCAATATCATGTTCTTTGGGGCCACGTTTGCTGTATTCCAAAGATACCGTTGATAAGTATTTTGATTAATTATAACGTGTTACATCATTAAAAAAAATTTTTATTTTATTAATTATATTAATTTATTTAACAGTAAAAATAATGATGTAATACGTTATAATTAATTCAGGATAAGCTTTTCACCTGCCGTGGTGCAATGATTATTTGCTGTCTCAATGGGCCGTCTGTGGTTTGCACTCTCAAGTCTCGGGTTCAATACCTCCACTAACACCTCTAACGTACTAATCTCTAATCATTGTCCTTATAAAAAAAAAAAAACTCAGGATACAGCAAAATTTTAAGTTCTTTGGAGAGTTTCCCAGTTTCTTTAATTCAGAGTCGCCGCCAACTTTCTTTGAAGGAGCAGTCCTCTCCAGATATACCAAATTCTAACAACTGAATTCTCAGGGCATTTCTCATATCATGGTATGCAACTAATATTCCTAATCTTAGCCATTACTGATGTCTGTAATGCACTCCCAAGTTCTCTGCTCGATGTAACCCCTAAACCCATAAGTTGAAGATTGAGCCTTTTATGTACTCTTTGTGGTACACAATTTATAATATAATTTTAAAATAATATTATTTATTTTAAATTATATAACATAAATTATTAAATTGATGAGTCTCTTTAAATTAATTTCGAAGATTTTTTTTTCTTATTTAGTGATTTTTATTTTGCAATCTAAAAAATCAAATAAAAAACTAGTGTGCCTCTTTAATGTTATTTAAAAAAGTGTTGGCCAATCACAATCATCAGACGAGATATTTTTTTTTGGTTGGTATAGAGACAACACATCTAACAGTTTTTAATTTGCCGTTTGAATAATGCAATTCAGATGGTAAGTTTGGATTGCACGATAGGAAATCCATGTGCTGTTGCGAAATTAGCTTCTTCTTTTTTTTTTTTTTCGTGAAACTTGAACATACAACTCGTTTAAAATGAATAATTTTAATTCATAATTTTTTTATGAAATTTAAACATATAATTCACTGAATAAAAAATTCAAACATATAATTTACTAAAAATAAACAGTTCTAATTTAGAGTTCAATACCATTAGACCGAAGCATGCGATTTTTGAAATTAGCTTTTTCATTGCAAAGAAAAAGAAAATTCTATTAATCATGATTGGAAGAAGGGGCATCTTCGTCTGATTTGATTAATTTTCCTCTGTTTTTTGGTAAAGAGGGAGAGAGGCAGCATGTAAAAAGGCAGTCCAAGGGTGGACAATGTCCCAGAAGGGGGAGATGGACCCACACGGTTTTAAGCCAACTTTTCAACATCCTGATCTGATCCCAATTGTTCCTTTACACGTACTAAAACGTACCTTTCTCACTTTTCTCACCTTTGCCTTCCTGTAATGGCATTCAACTATTGGGGCTTTTGGCTCTCTCAATTTTCAACCCTTGCATTTTGATGGAATTCCTTCATCAAGATTGTCAAAGTTGATGCATGAGGAATCTTTGCCAGTTCTAGCCTGTTGGAAGGTTTAAAGCAAAAAAAGGCAAATGTAGTGAAACATATCTCCATCAAAATTGTTTGCTTTCATTTTCACCTCTTAGTCTTCAAATTTTTAATACAGCAAGAAAACAGAGTTAGGTTTTTGATTCCCATGTGCTTGCTTTTGCCGACCTTGAAGGGTCCCATTAGGAGATTAGCATTGCAATCCCACCACCAATTTAGTGGACTGGAAAAAGTCTCTACACGTTGGGGTCTTGCATTACGTCAACGTCCATACTAATTGCCAAATTAGCTTGCCTAAGAGTTGAAATTTGGTTGAGCTGCTTTCATATTTCGCTGTAAGTAAGGCAAATTGTTATGTATTATCATAACTTGTTAAATACCTAACAAAAATACCAAAATACCAAAATTAATGCTGCCATTTGCAACACCAACTTTCTTCAACCTTAATTAATGCAGTCTAATCTAAAAAACAATTAGAGTTGAATATCAAAAGGAATTGAGACCAATCAGATGTTCTAAGAGGGAAGTCAGACCTTTCTGCAACGTGTGTCTCAGTAGAGAGGGGAAAATGAACAAATATTGATATGAGAATTACATTAGCCTGGAAGTCTTTGTCCAAAGCTATTGAATTTTCAAAGGTAATGATCTCATACGACTTTTGACACTAAAAAAAAAAAAAAACAAAGATCATTAAGGAAATTGAAGGTATTGAAATTGCAAAGTCTAACTGATAGGGACAAGGAGAATCAATGAAGAATTTGTTAAAGCATCATGTGCATAATCAATGAAAACTTGCATCATGGATGACGTGTGCATTGAAGATTTATCATATCATAATCAGTTTCATCTACCAGGAATCAGGAAGATAATCTTCGACACCATTTCCATCAAGAGACAGATAGCAAAGCATTTCAGAGAAATCTTGACACTTTCTGCATATAGATGATTTGCAGTAACACAAGGATGGAATAAAAAGAAAAGAAATTGCAGTAGGTCATCTATTTGTATCCTTAAATCTATGGAATAGTATCAATAAATCCTGGAAATCTTTGAACTGGGAAGGAAGACTTACCATGTATGAAAAGAAGGTCTAGATGTCAACAATACTGGGGCAGACTTTTGATGCTAGATTTCCACTACCACATTTCTTCAGTCTACAGCCGCCTCAATGTTATTAGTTTTCCTGATAGAACAAAATTAAGATTGTACTCATATGTGGTCCAATCTTGTTTCCTTTGCAAAAAAAGATACAGATAAAACTGATATTTCAACATATTATAAGTTTAGCAGTGAAAAAGCTGCTTAATCCTTAATAGAGATGACAAGCATTAGAGTCAGAAAAACCATCCTGCTTACAGATACAGCAAACCATCATAATTTGGTGGTGCAGAAGCTCCCACCTTTCAACATACACAAGACAAAACATAGGTCCTAAAAGACTCCTTAAACAACAAATAAGACACTGAGAAAGGTGGAAGAACAACTTCCAACTTGCTCTTTACATATAGAAACAACAAAACAACACCAGGCAATATTTATTTATTCATAAAGCTTCCAAATACTTCCACAAAAGGTAAACAGAATTTAGGTCTTCTCTGTTGGAAGTGCTGCTAGAAGTTCCTCTGCCTGCAAAACAGTGGCATCAAAATGACCAAAGTTAATTAAGAATCAGATAGCTTTAAATTAAAGTAAAATCTAATGTAAGGTTGCTTCAGAATCAGATAGCTTTAAATTGAATTGAGTGCTAGATGCTACTAATGATGTATAGTAATTAACTGCTGATCAGCCATTTTTATCTTCTTAACTTTTGTATTGCAGCCTCCGTTATGATTCTCTATGAAAACAACCCATTTCTATAATGTATGTCAAACCAGGCAAAGAAACATGCATAAAATTGCAGTCTATGATTTCATAGTAAAGAAACAGAAAGAGAAGGAAAAGTCCTCCAAGCATGCATATTGTGTAACTTTTCCTGCCAGCCAATATGATGTAAACAGCATAATTAAAAGACTTTGATTTAATTCAAAACAAAAGGCAAGCAGTTATTATGTAAAGGGAACCTGATAGCTTCAAAATCATATGAATCAACACTCCAAAAAGGAATTCCATTGCTTAGCAGCAAAAGCTAACCTCTTGATTAATCATGGAGGTCAAGCTATAATACACGACACATTAACGTTTTCAGCTCAAGCACAGAATGTAGTAATTGCAGCATCAACTTAATTTGCAGCTGTTTGGTTGCTATTAGGGCAACAGAACAGTTCACTGGATGGATGTCACATGTTAAACAAAATCAAGACATATAAATGGAGTGAAGAGAATATATGGCATCTTTATAAAATTTAGTACTCCAGATGTGGCAACCAATTTATTCTCCAGTAATCCAGGTGATTCTTCTATGTCAGCTGTGCGCGTGCACAGTAAGGCAATGATCTATTGATCTTACTGATAACATGTATTAAAAGAATCCAACACGTTAGAACCTTCCACTCTTTTGTGTTTGATTATGTCCTAAATTACATCAGACTAGACTCAACTCAAAGGACATGACTTAATGACAGCAAAATGATCTTCCAGGCTGTCCGAGTGCTCTAAACACAATCTAGAACAGCTCAATCGAGCTGCAGCTCATGTTTAGGCACAAGCAACAACCTACATGACATATCGATGCAACAGATGTATGGTTCTTGAATCAAAGGACAAAATTCATCATTATGATCAAATTATAGACATTGCACATAAAATAAACATCAACATGAAACATTCATAATGTAATGATCAAATCGCAAGTGAGTAATAATTTGGAACTTACAACACTACTTGCTCAGTGACCTGATGGACTTGGATTTGACCTCAGCCAGGAAGGAGGTGGCCAGAATATTTTCAGGTACTCAGGGAAATCTATGATAGATGCATGCCTTCGATCTTCCATGAAGAACAATCCCACCTTTCCATTCTTTAGTTCCTCAGGATCTTCGTTCTCTTCATCATCATTCCCATTGCAATCCTCTGCGAATGGCTCTTCTATTTCATCCACGAAGATTATGCAATTCCCTCTGCAGCCAGGGAAATCTCGAGCAGAAAACGAGAAAGAACAATCATGGCTTACAAAGAACACTCTATCCCCAAGATGCCTAATCTCCCTCCACCTCTCCTCGAACCCAAGGTCGTTCTGATCACCTCTGAACACCCTGAAATTAACCGGAATCTCAGTAACTCCTTCTTCCTTATAGAAACAATCCATGTCGTCGTCGTAGTGCACCTTTCCGATGCACTCACCGAATTCCCTATGGACAGAGAAAAGTTCCCCACAAGATTCTACCAAGTATCTTTCACCCTCGCATATTTGCCTGGATGGACGAGGGTAGACTTCAATCAGACCCATAGAACCCTGATTGTATCCAGAAACAACACCGTAAATATCTATAGTGTAGAAGGTATCGTTGAAGTTGATAATGTCGCGGAACTCAACGTCTTCATCGAGGAGACACCAGTAACCTGTCCCGCCCTTCATGTACCAGAGTTCTCCTTTCTTGATCATTGCAATGTAAGGTTTCCTTCGGAAATTCGTACAGATTTCCGCTTTGTAAATCCACCCCACGTCCTCATACTCGGTGTCGTTGCTCTCTGTATCGTTGATCTGTTCGACAATGCGTTCAATAGAGAAAACCTTGGTGACCTCCGAAATCCGGAAATTCCGCGTGTCGAGCAGCTTCGGAAGGGATTCCGGAAACTTCTTCGAGGGATACATGGAGAAGGGGTTTAAAAAACACAAGGTTCCGTCGTCCCCTTGTTCTCGTACTTTCATCAACCAACTTTCCCGTCCAGACCCATCAGCGGCATCTATTTCCAGACGGAAAACCTTCGACTGTGACAGAATGAAGGAGGCATAAGGATTGGATAGTTCCTCAGTATCACACGGGAGCTTCATTGAGAAAGGAAAGGACTTTTTTGGCAAAGGGACTGTCTTCCTCCAGGATGAACAAACAGCTCGAAAATGGAGAACGTCTTGCCTGTCCTCAAGCCTTTTGGCAATGGAAGAGAGCATTTCCATGGGAAGATCAGCCCAAGAAACTCGAGCCACCATTTTCTTAAAGGGAAAAAAGGATGAAGAAGAAAGGAGCCTCCGGAGGTTTCAATGATGTTTAGCAGATACATATATATATATATACCAAGAGGGAAACCGGAATGCTTACCATGTGTAGTTCAGGCAGACTTGTATAGCGTGCTGCCAGTTAGATGCATAGTTGTCACTTAACGTAGGGTGTGGTAGAATTTAATCTTCCTGAGCAATTTTAAGTAAGAACAATATGTGCTTACCTGTATTGTTCTAGTCATTTTTCAGGGAATTAATTAAGTAACGGCTGTGAACAATTTCCCTGGTATGTTGTTCACGGTGCTGTGATGAGGGAGGTTCTAATTCTAGTTTCTAGAGAACAATTTCAGTCTTTTGGCTGAAGGCACTTGGGACTTTTAGAGTTTTGTCTATGAGAAGAAGTACAGTTGGGACTTTTAGAGTTTTGTCTATGAGAAAACTAGATACTGTGCATTCCAGTTTCTGTTGAATTATAGATGGTATATATCTGTTAGAAGAACAGCTATCAAATTTCTGCGGGCGGATTTTATGAAAATTGTGAAAATTATGCATATGGTTTAATATAAGACTTACATTCAACCTAAAATAGGAAATAGGTGGAGTGACTTTTCTATTTTTATACAAGTTTCTTATTTTTATACAAGTTTCTTATTTTTATACAAGTTTCTTATTTTTATACAAGTTTCTTATTTTTATACTTTATATAGGATTTTTCACTTAACACGCCCCTCATGCCCACTATGAATGTTAATGTCAAGTCCTGTCAAGTGAGTTAACAAGCTTCCTTAAATGCAGGTTCGGTATAACTTCGTGTCCTGTCAGGTAAACTAACAACGGGCTTTTCATGATAGAATTTGGACTTTGATACTATGTGAAATCTGGGCTCTGATATCACGTGAAAATTGTGCATATGAACTCAATACAAGACTTGCATTCAACCTAAAACCAATTGATAATAGGTGGAGTGACCTTTTTTATATTTAACCTATAAGGTTTTTATTTTTATACTTGATCTGTAATTTTCTCACTTAACACGTTCTCTCACACACAAACCCGCTATGAATGTCAATGTTGAGTCTGTCACGTGGTTTAACATGCCAATTTTCCCACTTAACAAAAATTTGAATAACAAGAACCAGTTCTTATTTAACATGAGTTTTTGGCTTGGTATGACTTAATAATCTTCTGTTGGAGGATATGTTTTTATAAAGCTGATGATATCAAATTTTTGGTGCTGCATCAGGATGATCTTTGTTTGAAATTTCTATACATAGAATTGGTCCAGTCCAGGGAATATTTCCAATCCTGGTGAAACCAGTGAATTCATTGGGAGGGAATAATATTGGTATGTGTTGGTGAAAATGTTCAAACACTTATTTAGAAATACATAGTTTCGTTTGTTCATCTGATGATATGATAAGTAATGCAATAAAGAATAACGTTCTTCTTTATCAAACTTGATATCCCATTGCAATTGTCTTAACCAGTGAAGAATCTTTTCCATGATTGCCATGGAAGAAACCCACCTGCAACATATATAATATCAAATAAAGTTAAGGTTGATTTAATTATGAAATAACGCATAAATGTTTGTTAGAAATGAGAAAAATAATAATTAAAGTGTATAACATACCACATCCAGGACATCGAAAATATGTACCATCCCTTAGAACAAGCCCTGACCCTCCACAAACTTGGCATTTTCTTTGTGCTACCTATTCATATATAGAATAAAAAATTTAATTTCATTCATAGGAGACCCTCATATGATCTAAGTACTCTTTAGGGCCAAAACTTTTTTTTTTTTTTTTATCAGCTCTTTAGGGCCAAAGTTGATGTTACTAAATTCAATCTCTCAAGTCTCATAGTATTAATTAGAAGGTACTTACAATCCTTTTACTAAATTCAATCCCTGCAACGATAAAAGGAGTGACTCCAGCTGTTGAAAGAAAAAAGGCAGATTATATATACATTATATATATGTTGAAAATATTATAAGTCAAAATAAGCTTTTTTTTTTTTTGGTACATTTGAATGGACAATACAAAAAGGGTAACCCTCCTTTCCCTTAAATTTTTCTCTGTCTGATTCAAAGTTTGAACTTGAAAACTCGAATTTTCAACCATTGAGTCACTATATTGGAGTTGTAGAAAAACGCTAATAATAAGTCAAATTATATAAACAAAAATACTATAGTTATAATATAATATCACGTAACATTATAAAATTATAATATATTATATCATTATATAATTGATTTTTTTTACTTAGAAATTTACCTATGATGTTATATGTATCTATTCATTTAACACAACATTATATTTATTTAATACTACATCATGATTGTAACTTATAATTCTAGTTGATATTATAACTATATCATTTTCATTATATAAAAACCAATTAATTAAGCTGGCAAAAGAAATATAAAAAACTTATCATATTAAAAAAAAATGGATTATTAGGGAAGATATACATTTGGAAAGAAAATTAAAGAAAAAGGAAAGAAGTGCATCAAGAAATGGTAATACTACCTACTGCTCCAACAATAATTTGCCATGTGATTTCCACCTGGCCAGGATCCGGTGAGGTAACAGCAGCAACCCTGGTGGTCATCAGGTGTTGATTGTTTTGCATTATCAATAACCTGTTGTATCTATTTGTGTGGATGAATCCTCCAGCAGTTGATTTTGCATACTTTTTGTTTAAGTTTCTGGACTGAGTTGTTGGGAGTGCAGAAGCAGGTGAAGAAGGAGAGAGTGAGGCTTTCATGGTGGTGAAGGGCAGCAGCACAGCACAGCACAGCCAAGCCAAGCCAAGCCAATGCTAGTGGTTGAAGCCTTTAGGAGAAAGAGAAATGAACCAAAACGACACGTTTCAGTGGTTTCAATTGGGCCACGTTTTGCATTTCTCAATTGGGACCATGTTTTCACGAGTTTTTTACTTTTATTAAGATATGCAAAACGTGGCCAATTGAAACTGACACTAATGGCTGTAAGAGGCTTCCAAATTGAAATGCATTTTTTAATAAATTTATTTTTGCCAACGATCTAACTATCAAAATAGTTAT